ATTCGGAGTGTAGTCGGGGAATCCGGTAGTCTGCTCGACCGCGTTGGCCGTTTCAGGCGGGAACTTCATTAGCAGCCCATAGTGACGCCAAGAGACGACACCACGACCCGGAACTTCGACGACCTTGAGCTCCTCCGGAGTCAGCTTCGCGTACTTCTTCCGGGCGAGAGCAGACTGCTTGCGTTCTTGAGAAGGTCGGGACCTCTTGTGTTCAGGCTCCCCAGAATCACTGCCGCCCGAAGACTTCCCCGACGCTCCGGATTCCGAGTCGCGCTTGCGCTTGGCGCCCCGAGGCGGAGGCGTCCGACGACCGGAGCTGCTCTGGGACTTGCCACTTGGACTGCCATCTTGAAACTCCGCGTCCCGCTCACTATCTTCCTCGCTCGAGACGTCCTCGTAGAGCGCCATCTGGATCTCAGCTTCATCTTCCAGACGAACCTTCTTTAAGTTGGGCCATCTCGTTCGTCGACTCGATGAGCGCCTCCGCGTTTTTGAAGTACCACGTTGGTACATACTTGGTCCACGGAGTCTGGTCGAGCTTGCCCCAGTACATCATCCGGACCAACATCTGAGTCAAAGCCCGCGATGTGATCCTGGTGTGCACCTCGTTGTCCCCGCTGGCCAGATCCAGAGCGTCCTGAAAATCAAGTCCGCATAGCATGACCTGCTGCAAGTCCGAACGTTGCTTGGACCAGACCACCGGGAGATCCTTCAAAGACTCGCGTACCTGAGTGACGGTCCGGAGTGGCTGCTTGGTGGCATCCAGAGCGTCATGATCATTCGGCGTGTACGCCGAGGGGCGAAGCTGAACCGTACCCCAAGATCGAGACTTGCCCGACGCCTTGGGTTTCTTGGGCGTCTGCTGCGGACCTGACGAATCGTGCGAGAGATCCAGAGGCTTGTCCTTGCTGCCGTCACGGTTTCCAGACCTGTCATTCTCCTTGGAGTCGCCGTCGTCTGGACTGCCCTCGTCTTCGAAGGTGTAAGGTCCAAATTGTGCTCCAAAGTCATCAATTGCGTTGACCAGGATCTGTGTCTTCCAGCCACTCGGAGGCATCTTGGAGTCCTTGGCGTGTTCCAACAGCGCCTTCAGGCGAGGCCAGCTGCCGTCGACCCGAGTGCCATGGCGGTTCAAGAAGTTCATCGTCCGGGCCACGTTCAGGGACCTCGCCGTGAGCCTGTTCTCGAGACCCCGGATGCAGTCGCGGAGGTCGTCATTTTCTTGCGAAAGACTATCCACTTGGGCCTGCAGAGCTCGAGCTTCGCGCTCGCGATCCCGAGCTGCGCGCTTGAAATCCCGGTCATGCTCCGAGGCCTTGTGGTCCAGGTGCTTTCGAGCCACC